GTGGCATGTACTAAAAGGCGAAACGTCGAAACGAAACGACCGAAACGAAACGGCCGAAACCATCGAAACCACCGAAACGACCGAAACGAAACGACCGAAACGAAACAACCGAAACGAAACGACCGAAACGAAACAACCGAAACGAAACGGCCGAAACGAAACGGCCGAAAATATAAAACACAGGAAAATTGAAAAATGCGGATACGGACGGACGGACGGACGGACGGAGGGGACAGGCGGATGTACGGGGGAGACAGGCAGATGGACGGGGGAAGAGGCGGATGGACGGGTGGGGGACAGGTGGATGGACGGGGGAAGAGGCGGATGGACGGGGGGTGGACAGGCGGGTGGACGGGGGGGACGGCTTCATTTGATACGAAACTGATATTTAAAATCAAATCCGCGTTTTGTTGAAAGGGATATATTAGGATATATTATAAAAGACTATTATTAATCGTAATAAATTGTCCGCGAAAAGTTGATAAAATACATGTGGAAATGCGGGGTTTTTCGAACCTTCGTAACGCTTGATCGGATAAAATGCGGATATGCTGCAACTTTCATGCTTAATTTTCTCAGTCATCTGGGTATGTAGTAATCTAATTTTATGCAATGTAATGTGTTATATTTTTAAGTAAAATTTCCGTTAATTAAGAGATATGACAATTGCCGTACGGCCTACTTTTACGCAAACGAAAATTAGCTACAATTGCCACTTTCATGCTTAATTTTCTCTGTTACTTATCCGGGCATGTAGTAATGTAATTTTATGCCAATGTATTGTGCTGATGAAATTTGCAGTTGTAATTTGCGTTTGCGTATAAGTAGTCCGTACGGCAATTGTCATATCTTAACGGGAATTTGAGTTATATTTAAACCGATAACTGCATTGAAAAGCCCTTGAAAAATAGCACCTTACATTGGCATAAAATTACATTACTACATGCCCAGATAACAGAGAAAATTAAGCATGAAATTTGCAGTTGTAATTTGCGTTTGCGTAAAAGTAGGCCGTACGGCAATTGTCATATCATAGCGGGAATTTGAGTTATATTTAAACCGATAACTGCATTGAAAAGCGCTTGAAAAAATAGCACATTACATTGCATAAAATTAGATTACTACATACCCAGATGACTGAGAAAATTAAGCATGAAAGTTGCAGCATATCCGCGTTTTATCCTTATATCAAGCGTTACGAAGGTTCGAAAAACCCCGCATTTCCACATGTATTTTATCAACTTTTCGCGGACAATTTATTACGATTAATAATAGTCTATTATAATATATCCTAATATATCCCTTTCAACAAAACGCGGATTTGATTTTAAAATTGAGTTTCGTGTCAAATGAAGCCGTCCCCCCCGTCCATCCGCCTGTCCCCCCGTCCATCCGCCTCTTCCCCCGTCCATCCGCCTGTCTCCCCCGTCCATCCGCCTGTCCCCCACCCGTCCGTCCGTCCGTATCCGCATTTTTCAATTTTCCTGTAATTTACATTTTCGGCCGTTTCGTTTCGGTCGTTTCGTTTCGACGTTTCGCCTTTTAGTACATGCCCATGGCTACCATTGGAAAATATCGTGATGTTCCGGTATATTCCGGGAAAATGTCGCAATATTCCGCCATATTCCGTGATATTCCGCCATATTCCGTGATATTCCGCCATATTCCGTGATATTCCGGCATTCCGGGTTTTCACAACGCCCAATGTGTAAGCACTCACATGAATGGACCTTGGCTACGTGTTAGCCTTTTAGTAAATAAAACGGGATTATAAGTCGCACAATTTAAAGTATAAAAATGACAGCGAGTGAATGTCATGTAATAGCCCCGCCTAATAATATTTTAATTCAATGGCATTGTTAGGGCAGTTATATACAGAAGCACCAAAATTTCCAACAGTTTCACCTAGTTCCTCCTATCATACATACGTATTGAATGCCGATTAAAAAATTCCATTGCTAAAAATTCGAACGGGTGAAAACATATCCATTTCACAGATCTAAGGCTGGTATACTAATTAGTAGCCGTAGTAATCATGTGTATCTAAAATGCTCCGCCGTCCGCGGTCCGCTTTTTATCCGTCCGCCTTTTATCTACACCCAACATTATATACGTATTTATGATGTCTTTTCCTGGCTACAAGGCCGGTTAAGCAATTTTGCTAGCCCTGAGAGCACCTCTCATTAGAGTTTCTGAAATGGTATTTCCTGCGTTTGGGGGAAGATATGACATGCAGCAGAAACAAGGTCAGGAAACCCAAAACTATCGACGCACTAGCCTGCTCGCAGGCCGTTGTCAATAGAGCCTGTGAGCAGGCTATCGACGCACAAGTGCTTAGTCTGGCACTAAAGCAGAAGACATGGATTGATTAATCTTTAAATCAGGCTTAATCAGCAAGTTTTAAAAGCGGTAAACATCATTATAACATTACTCTTATAACGGTGTAATATTATCTTTATCTATTGATCTTTAGATTAATAGTGGGGCAGATTGCTGAAAATTATATAGAACAATTGTACATTTAATGATAAAAGCACACAACTTGGCGTCAGTGATGTTAGGGTATACCCTATACGGGACTTTTTTGGGTATAGGGCCATTACAGATTAGCTCCTGGTACCGGTTATAAAAAAATGAAATTTCAAAGTTCACTTTAAATTAAGCAAATATCACCTATATATATATCGTTAATGGAAAGATCGCACAAAACTAAATAAAGGATATTTAAACGGCTGCTACGATTTTCGACACCTATTGTAAGTTACATAAGATTAAACCTGCTAAAAACAGTATTTTGTGGCCTTTTTGTACCAATTTGCGGTTTTTGACCGCTAATAACTCGGAGTAGGCTTGCATGGAAAACCATGACTACCCGCTTAAATGTTCTTCACTGACATAGTTTTTTGTGATCTTTCTGACGATATAGCTAAACTGGTGTGATATTTGCTAAATGTGAACTTTGAAAGTTCACTTTTTTATAAGATAGTAGTTTAATAGGTAAATGGTAAGAAAAACCAAATTTTGTGGCAACCAGGAGCTAATCTGTAATGCCCCTATATAGCAAAAAATGTCCTTAGTCTTACGCCTGTATTCTAAAAGCTCACTCACGCTCACACTGGGTTAAGGGAGAGTTACCAACCGGAGAGGTATGATTTCGGGGAGTTATGTTCGAACCACGCCCACTTTCCACAACGAACACACCCAATTTCTTAACTCTCCCGACATTTCCTTGAACTACTAACATGAGAGAGTTATGTTTGACGCAACTCTCTCTCGTTCACATAATAAAGATGTTAGATTTTTATAACTCTCCGCGTTCACGATTGATGAAGAGAGTTACGTCAGTTTTATATTTTGGTATTTCAGTTTGTAGCATGTCAGTAGCGTGCGTCCAAACAGGAAATACAACTTGACTCGGTCAAAACAATGAGATGCTACCCCCAGAAGCATGCTTTGAAGTATATTTGGCAGTAAATACATACGGTAAGCATATAGTTGCAAGAAAATCAGTTGAAAAAATTAAGAGAATTGAATCTTTCAGCAATTCAGGTTTTGGAAATACTTTCCCAGATCAGTCAATAGGGCGTTAGATTGGAAAGGTTTTCTGGTTCTATCTAGTACGAGAGCTGTATCTGAATGCTGTTAGATAATCCAAGTGAGCATGTATATAAACATTTACATATATATGAACATATATATGAACTACAAGTGGCTCTGTAGCTCAATTGTTTAGAGCGCCGCATCGGAATCGCAGAGCCGCAGGTTTGATTCCTGCCAGAGTATCATATAGTGTTGCACATTCGCAACCGTTCCTGAAATTTAACTCTCTTCATTGCCAACAATCATGAACGTGGAGAGTTATAAAAAATGATAACTCTCTAACATCTTAACGAGAGAGAGTTACGTCAAACATAACTTTCGCATGTTAATTCAAGGAAACGTCGGGAGAATTAAGAAATTGGGTGTGGTCGTTGGGAAAAGTGGGCGTGGTTCGAACGAGCTACACGCTTGAAAAAATTCATTTTCGAAGCCTTAGTATCTCTGCCTTAGTATCGAATATTTTGCGTGTTTCCTGAAAGAAATTCTTATCAACTCAGTTTCTAAACAACGCTTAATGCTAAATAGCTCTCTCCTCCGCAGAGGCTTCTGTTGGCTATGATTACGATTAGTATTGAGATACATTTCACTACACTTTACATGGCGGATCTTGGAACACGAGCGGAGCCGCTGGGCGAAGAAGCGCAGGCGGAAAAGCGCGAAGCCAACTAAAGCCTCTGCGGAGGAGAGAGGCTAAATAGCATTACAAGCCTGAATGCCTGATTGAATTGAGAACGGCTATACCAGATGGCTAAGCGGAGAGTCAATTTCCATTTTCATTTTCCAATGACCACCCAATATCCTAACTCTATCGATACTGGCCCGGCTCTATGTAATCGGCTCCTAAAAATGAAAAGCTAGTCACAAGCATCACATGAATTATATGATGATATATGTGCATGAAGATGCATAATGAAATACAAATACTGTATTATGTATGATAATTTAAATGTGGTGCAATAGCGTCCTTATTTGTGATATTATTAATCAGCTGGTATATGTTTACCATGCAATTTATAATATTGTCGTTAATAATGATATTAGGTGTAAACAAAATTCAAGAGGGAGAGTGCCTCGCATGGGTCTTGAGTCTCGTTCCAACTCTTGCCGTGTGAACATCGTTTGAATAAAGTGTTAAAAACAAAAAACAAAAACATGGATGACCCTTTAATAGTTTCCTTGGCCCATTGTATATATTAAATAATTAACTCTACAAAATTTACCTCGATTGCATTCCAATTTTCTGGGACAGCCAATCCCAAGTCGTGTTGAATTCGATCACGGATTCGACGTTCTCAGTCTCCACATGCAGAGGCTTTTAAGGGCAGATTAATTAAGATAAGAACATCAAATGCTCCATTGTGCTGGACGGAACACGTTAACAGGCATGAATACTTTATTTTTCAGGTGACAAATCTCAACAGTTTGGGCACCTCCAAAGCTTGCCACCAAGCATGTTTTCGTTTTATATATTGCCCACACAGAAGGAACGCTACCGGCAACTTGGGTATTCAAGAACAAGGACTATATTTACTCAAGAACAAATTAATGAACTAGAATCAAAGTTTGAACAGAAAAAATACTTAAGTACACCAGAAAGATTTGAGCTCGCAAAGAATCTTGGTCTGAATCCAGTGACAATCAAGACCTGGTATCAGAACAAACGAATGAAATGGAAAAAAGAACTGCAAAAACTTGATCCTTCATGTAAACCAACAAGACCAATAGGTCGCCCGCCGAAATATTTATCCCATGATGCAGAAGACCAAGTTATTGTGGACTAATTTCTAACGCCTTGCTGTATTATTGTGTACATACGTTTTATTCACATTGATATTTCTCCCAACTATTTGTTTAAGGCCTACTTTGGGGGCCAAGGTCGCCGTTATTATGTGCGACATTAGGCGACATTGGCAATTTTCAAAGAAAAGTAGTATGCGAAACTGGGCGACATTAGCCGAAATTAGGCGACATTAAGCAAATAGACTGTTAGGCAAAGTTAAAAAATTGGGTGCACATGGGCGACATTAGGCGACCTTCGCCCCCCAAAGTAGATCTTGTTTATGACGTACTATATAGGCTAACAGAGTTCTGTTTGGTTTTGCTATGCTATGGGATGGCATCAGTGGATTGCATGCTTGATCACCGCCATCGCGTGTCACTTCTGCCATGCCCCCCCCCATTCCAAGTTGCTTTGATCTTTGATAGCATATATATAAACAGTCTCGTCCCCAGGCGCTTTGATTTGCTGCGCCGTTTGGTGAGAAATGAGTCGGAACCCGCGCGTCTGAGTTGGAGCCTGGGGACGAGGCTGTATATATAAAGGTCAGCCTAGACCTAGGCCTTCTATTTTTATTTATATTTTTTTAATATTCAGCGCTTTTTCACATGAAAAGACTGGGACTAGGTAATTTGGGGGCGGGGCGGAGGAAGGACACAAGCCTAGTCCCAGTCTTTTCATGTGAAAAACCGCTGAATACTAAAAAATATAAATAAGACAAATAAGACTAGAAGGCCTAGGTCTAGGCTGTATAAAGGTTATGTAATTTTCAACAGTTTTCCTGAGCTTTCGCAGGTACCGGTTCACATAATCACATTGCGGTGAACTGGCTTATACTACCAATTCATAGTGGTATGTCACTTGACTTATGTCACTTGACTTTGGCAGGACATTTATTTATTAAACGACGTTTACGCTGCATGCATAGGCACTTTTTGGTGAAAGAAACGTCGACATTGTAAACCCGCCGCTAATCCTGTTTTCAGTGCATTTAGTACATATGATTTAGTACAGCGCAGTCAGTTATATGTCAGAAAGTAATAATAGACAACTTATATGTTAGACTAATTTTTGATCTAGGCAAAAAAGTAAATTCCCCTCGTAAAGAACTTATTAAAATGAGTAAAATTGCAAAATTTGGTTACGAAATGTTGTAAAATACGGAAAATATAGCCTTGCGATGTTTGTATATATATTTTGTATACGTTTGTATTATATGCGGAAATTGTTGCCATTTTTGAGCCGAAAATGGTGACAATTTCCACACACCTGACACATGTAATACAAACATACAAAATTTGCAAACTTAAGACTATATTTTCCACGCTTTACAACATTTCGCAACGAAATTTTGCAATTTTACTAATTCATTATGTTCTTTTTAGCTGTGGTGTTTGATTCCCTTCTCTTTACTTAGATTAAAATTTAGTCTAACATGCAAGTTGTCCGTTGTCATTGATAAAGAAATTAGACAAACATACATCCTAATAGTGATATATAGAAATATATATAGTGTATAAAATCACAGAACCAGTTCTCCAGTAGTAATACTGATGGTAATCTGTCTTGATCAGGAAAAACTTTATGTTAAACATTTAATGCCTGTGGGATTCTTGATATTCTATGCAATTTTGATGGAAAATTAAAGATGTAAAATATAATATATTCATATTTCTGCAATAAATTAAAGAGCGTTTTGCGGGAGACGTGTTCTCTTTTTAATCCGGTTCAGTATAGTTCAGTGTTGTAAAAATGTAATGAGTAAAAATTACAATTACTTTTCCAAATATATATTACGTACAAATCACTTTCTTCAAAAGTATTAAATTAGTGAGTTTAAGTTCGACTTCCGATACCAATACCGATATCGATGTCTTCACTTCCGTTCTCATTTTGGTACCGGGAATAGGCAATTCCAGCTTTTAGTTTATGCGTGCAGGGGACGATGGGAAGTAAGGTATCACATTGCTGATTATGCTGAAAAATAAAAATGGTGGCCGTGTAAACACGGAGTGATAGCTTATACTTTCAAATATTGAAATATTTCGGTTTCGGTAGTTTTTATTGAAAATTTTCAGCAAAATCGGTAATATGATACCTTACTTCCCATCATCCCCTGCAGGCATAAACTGAAAGTTTTATCACGACAGATAAAGTATAGAAACATTATAAATCGTCATCGAAAATGTGCGGTAAATATACTAAACTGCAGCTGAGCTAAAATTCCGACTAAAACATGACTCGGGCGATACTAATAAACAAATAGTTTACGTATTTAATTTATCGAAAAAAAATGAAATATCCGATTTATACGAGTTTATATCTTACAATTCCCACCTAAATCCCACGACTTCCAAAACAAGGCCGACTTCGGTAGTGGTGAGCACAAGCAGAGCGCATGCGCATGACCTGTTAGCATTTAAGCATGCAGTTTTCCACTAGCGAATATTTTTGCGTGAAGCGACCTTTTTCCTTTGTCGGCATCCATTTTGCCACGTCTTGCTGACGTAATTAGTGATACTGACAAAGGAAAAATGTCGCTTCGCGCGAAAAAATTCGTAACTCTATTAATTACTAAGGGGCCGACCATTATAAAAGTGATAGGGGGGGGGGGGAATTTTTAACTTGTACGAATATTGAATATTGCCTTTTTGAAGAGGCACTGCACGAATTTTTTTTCAAACTTTCTTGGTGTACGAATTTTTTTCTTCCTGTTTCCCCTGCGCGATTTTTTTTTTGCTTTCCCCCCATCACTGAAATTTCTAATGGTCCGCCCGTAATAAACTTTTCCGGTAATTACGTCACAACTACCGGGTGGGGCAAAAAAAGTACGACTGTTTGAATTGCTGCAAAAGCAAAACTAAAAGAGCAATGACACTAAAACAAGTTTAGTGGCATTCAGCGACATCCAACTTAAATTTTGATATATGCCATGCACATTTCAATGCCATATTGACAAAGATACTTGCATTTAAACAGGAGTAAACATTTTTGGAACTGACGAAATTAGCTATAAATGGATTATTAAATATTAATATAATGTGTGGTTGCTGATCATGTGGCACATGCATTCCAGATTTTATGTTCCAAATAGCCCCAAAGAAAAAAGATCGCATACTGTTAGGTCAGGGGAGCGATGGCCAAGGCCAGTCGACACATTTACTCATAACTCAGCCAGCGAATTGTTTCCGAAGGTATTGCATTGCTAATGTGAGAAGGAGCTTCATCTTGCTGCCACCACATATATGTTATCCCTATCGATATTGTGAACATGAAAGTCTATCTGTACAATGTTGTAACATATGATTTGAAGATACTCTCTCGTGTCGAGATTTCTTTCAACAAAGTGTGGGCCAAGAATAACTGACCATGTCAAACCACTAATTGAAACGATAATCGCGAGAACATGGTCGACACTAGATTATAGAGTAGAAATTATAAGTCACATCACGATAAGTATTAATTTTTAATTGCAGTTCTTTTCACGATTTCTTTGAAGATTCAATGGATATTGTTTTATATTTATAGAGCGATCTAATTAATTGTGACAATATATACTCACTCCCCCGACCCTAGTTAACAATATTCTATTTTACCCAAAATCTGGGTATGACGTCATAAGTCCATTCCAGGGTATTTCGCTCCAGCAGGGAAAGAGCGAATACCCTGGGAACGAGGTTGCTGCGCATGGAGCCGTGTAGAATTGAGGCATGAATATGGGCCACTCTGTAAATTCTATAATCCATACGTTATAGGCTTTGTACAAATTGGTTATTCAAGTAAGTTTTTAAAGTGATTAATCGCAAAATAATTCCTGAGTTAACTGCATGCAGTTTTGAATCTCAGGCTGGACTTCTACTGCGTTTGCAGCCGTGTAGAATTGATGCATGAATATGGGCCACGCTCAGCCTGCGATCGCAGGGTCGGGGAACGAGATTGGGGCTACGTTATAAATTCCATACTCGTAATTGCTGCCGTAGGCAGCCACCTATTCTTGACGATGTGTTTTTCTTGCACCAGTCCGTTTCCGGTTGGCCGAGTTATGTATAGCCGAGCGACAACTCGATTTTATTTGCATGTACGAATGTTTGTACGGATGATCAGATTTATGACGTATTTTGACGTCACAGAAATTTTAAAAAATAACATACTCCAGATCGCGATTTGACTTTCCGAATATCCCGGTTGAAGCTCGCGAACACCACCATGGACAATGACAATTTGTAAACACGTTACATGTACGCATAATGGCCTCTGCCTCTGTATAATGGCATAATCTCATCGCAAATGGACTCTGACTGTTAAATAGAATGCTTTTCAAGGTAAGATGAAAGTTTGATCACAAATAACAATGTGTATTGGTCGATACGCGTTGAAACTTGAAGCGAATGAATTAACTGTATTTAAATTATTACATTTTAGGTGCATACAAGTCTTCATATACCCTGGCCCAGAGGTTTTTACGCGAAATGCGAGAAAACGCGCGAAGAAAAAGGAAAAACCTCTGGTGAATTTGTTGGCGATTCCTGGTTCGGATAAAGAATGCAAAAAATGTATAATTGCTTAATGCATCATATTCTAAAAATATTATCCAATCATTATCCTTGACGCCAGGCCGTCTAGACAGGGTTTTATCGCATGTTTTATACTGTCTAGTGTATGCCTGCCCATTTGTAGCAATATTCATTCTCCTAAATTTCATTCAATTTAAAACATCACATCTATTCAATTTAATATAAATATATATTTATATTCATTCACTTTAATCTTGCAATATACATTCAATTTAATCCTGCAATATACATTAAAAAAAACTGTATTTTATAAATTTATTAAACACACCTCTTTGGGCCGACGTGAACTTTGTCTGTTAATACAAAAGCAAGCAAATTTGTCTTGTAGATTTCAAATGAAACGATTGAAATTATTCCTCTCCATTTCGCATTTCGAATAATAGACTCGGGATTACAAAATGCGAATGCAAACTCTCCATCTAGTATTGCT